TTAACTGCTGAATTATAGTTAAATACATATTTATAATTTTACCACTTGGTGTTCTGGCTTTTACATATCTAAAACTGAATAACTCAAATCAAATTGGATTGCATTTGCATAATATACCTAATATTGGAATCTGTTTTGATCGTAAAAAATACAACTTGCAATCATTTAGATTATAGTTTTGAAAGAAATTGATTGCAATCGTAAATTATGTAAAAATTGTCAATAACAATCTGCCTAAAATTTCTTTTCCCCATGTAACGGTTATAAAATACGTTAAATCCGCACTATCTGCATTAACAAAAAATATACATTGGAATATTTAAAATAAACCGATTCATATTTATTTTCTAGTAAGAATTGTTTCTTAATTGAAAGTATTTAATACTAATATAATGTAGTGGTTAATGTTTTAAAATGAATTCGCAATATGTCCGCAGCTCAGGTTGATTTAAAGAAATCCGTTTAAATTTTTCGAATTACATCTACTTGAATACAGGATAGGCAGGGTTGCATACAAATGGTAGTTCCGTAAATATTTAAAATATGTTAGTTCATTCAATATTTGCATCTGGGCCAATAAATAATAACAAATATAGCCGAAAAAAACAAAGTTTCAATTAAAACGAGTTTTTATAACCCCCCATAAAATTCCGATTAATTTTAAATACGAAAATAACGATATTTTTTCATGGAGATTTATTTTTTTAATATACCTTGTTTATACCTACACAAAAACCGGATTAGCAAAAAACCGATTGGACTCAACATATATTTCTTTACAGCATTTATCCCCCTGTCTTTATAGCGCACTCGATAAAGTCTTATTCAAAAGTAAACAAAATTGCTATTTTTAAACGACATTTTTTTAATAAATAATTTGCGCGGTTGACCGAAATGGAAACAAACAATAATTGTAATTTATTATAACAATAATACGAATTTAAAACGGGCTGTATAAAGAAAACCAGCCTATTGTCACTTCACTTTCCAATGGTGCTGATTGCTGCAAGAATTATTTAGCGGTTTAGAGCATAATCAACACAATATATGCACATAAATATGTATTATTTCACAGATCTCAGGGTCAGCTTAGAAATACGTTACCAAAATTATATAAAATTTAAGTAGGAATTATTTTTATTTATAACGTAAAAGCGCTATCTGACCCAATCTGATAAGTATATTTCCCCTAACGTTAACCCATTTTATTTAATTTGTCTCTCGTGGAAATATATATTTTATTTATAATTTTCAGATATGTACATATATTTTAAATTTTTGCTTTAATTTTTGTCTCCTTTTAATATTTAATTAGATACCTTAAGATTAAAATAAGCTTAAAACGAAACAGCACAGCAACCCTTTTCTGTTCATCTTGAGAACACAAAACCCTCTTTTGTTAAAATTCGGCGCTGCACAAAATCCTGGCTTTTATATTTTCCAACAAAATACCACTTCGCAACCCTGGATTTTCACGCAGCGTTTCATTCGGGTCGTAGTTTGGCTACTTCGGGCCATTCGGTGTTGTATGCCATATTGTTCACACTGTCATCGCCATATTGAACACCCTGTCAACTAGCTGTCAACCTCACTTGTATTCTTCCACAATGACCGGAATATTGCAATTGAATAAACAATTTTGCACATATGTTTCACTTAATGTATTACAAATGTACTAAAACAAATAAATACGTGTTACAGGCTAACCTAATATTCGCGGCTTGCGTTTTGGTACGCATGCCGTCGAATTTGTTTTTTTGCGTCACCCGAAATTGGCTTGCGTGCGTTTGCATTTGATTTCATTGAGCGAAACGTCAAATCGAAATGTCACGCAGAACAAACATTGGAAATTGAGTTAGCTTCATACGCACGCCGTTCAATTTCGGTTGGTCCCATACAAGTTGTATGTGCATGAGAAATTTTTGACAGTAAATTGGCGGCGTGCGTGAATATTAGGTTAGCCTGTTAAGCTGTGTTCATTTACTCCTCTTATTTTCGTGAAATACATCAAAAGAAATTGCGAAAAGTGCAAGTGTTTTTTTGCAAATAACTCTTTAATTAATTTAAAAAGTTAATTACCGCTCTCGGATTATTATTATTGGCGTTAAACCGGGTCGATTGACACCACTCTCGAAATATTTCATCCATTTTTGGCCATGTAAGCTAAAGTGCACTGCTACTTTCAAATATTTTATTTAAATAAATCCCAAGTAGAAACACTAGTAAATTCGTTAAGTTATTTTTGGTTAACAAAGGATATACCTTATATCAGAAGACATGTTTATATTACGGATGTTGCGAATGTGGAATTGTAGACATCCGCGGATGCGAATGCGGATGCGGATGTCTAACGGCTAACATCCGCGGATGCGGATGCGAATGTGTATGTCAAGTATTCTTAAGAAACAATTAAATTAAGTTTTTGAGGTAATTGAATTTAAAAATTGGATCATTATATTTAAAAAAAAGTAATGAGAACTGCATCGCGGCTGAAATTATCGGATGTATCCTCTTAACTTTCACCTTCTCTTGAAGAATCTAGCATAATGGCGAGATCGTTATTTAAACACCGCTTTGCTCTTTTATTTCAATTTTGGCGCATTTCAATGTGGGATGTGTTACTATAAATTGGCTTTGCTTTTGGTTTTTGTTTAATTAAATTTTCATAATTTTCCCAATTAAATAAGGCAATTTAAAAAAGTTAGGAATTAAAATTTAGAACTTTTTGTTTACTAATTAAATGTTTATGTTCGTTTTTTTGGAAATTAAATAAGTTTTCTGCAAAAAATTTTGAAAAAATACATAAATACTGTTGTTGTTGTTGTTGTAGCGGCTACTGTAAATACTCATAAGTTGGGCTTGAAATTATCCCTGTTCCCCTTACCTTGGAACCATTTAGTGGGAAGCCAATCCATATTCCGTGTGTTGGCACTATATCCAAACCAGGGATGGTAATCATTATGCGTAAAATAATTTAAATCAGCATTTATGTAATTCTTATTTTATGATTTTTAATTTTTCGCTCAGATATAGTAATTACTATCGAGTTTTATATTTTGCCACTTAAACGAAAATGATTATATATAAAATTTAAAAACAGAGCGGATCTTAAATTGAACCAGATCTATCAGGATCATATCGTTGTTGTTGCATTCGCGGGAAAATTTTTTATCCGTAGCCTGATCATTGCCTAAGAAATCACAACTATTATCTTGGTGCGAACAAATAAAAATCATAAAATAATCATTATCTTATATCGAAAAAATAAAAACCGAGCAGTCATAATTCCCTTTGAGGGAAAAATAAAACTAAAATATATATATATATATTTGAAAAATCTTATTTATGGTCCGATTTTAATTATATAAAGAGAAGTCCCTTCTTTTTACAAGAGGTGATCTCGCGAACGGCTGTCCGGATTTTTTTGTTTTTTTTTGAAATATTTGACACCTACTGCAGACTTTCCTAGGATGGTTATAGGCCAGTGATGGGCACCGCGGGCAAAGCTCTTTTAAGCTTTCTATACATTTTTATACATTTTGTATAGTCGAGTGCAGGTTAAAATCTCTCCGCCCGTCGCTTTTATTGGCTGATAATAATTTCGATATATCTATCAAGGGAGTGAGGCATCTCCCATACAAATCGAAGTTTTCATACCGTATAATATCTCTGGAAGTATTAGTAGTAAACTCCTGCAACTTGGTATGGAGATATTTGAAATCAATCCCATACTCATAGAGAAAAGTGGGGGTTATTGGAAAAGGGGCGTGGCGCCTTCCAACCATAGAAACTTTTAATAAAATAAATATTGAATTTCTGTGGACCAATTATACTACCCCATTTTGAAATTGCCACCAACTGTACAATACAGATTCAGTGACGATTCACCATCGAATCATTGTTGGCCCAAGAACTTCTTCGGG